ACTATCTTTTAAATTTGTGTATACTTGTTAAGAAGCATTTTCATTTTGTTTTCATCACAATAAAAGAACATTAGTAATGTTGTGTTTAACTTTGATTGTATTGATACAGTTGGTTTTGTTCTTCCTGTTGTAGATTATCACAAGAAAAGTACAAAATTATACTAGAATGTAACATAATAGATTGAATTAGTAAATTTTATTTATTGATAACAAATGGGATAAACTCACTGTCAAAATTAAACAAGAATCCAGCATTAAAGAAATTGCAAGTACACACTTATTTATACAAATTTATTGTTTTGCATTTTAGTGCTTCAAATAGATCCTTAAGATATTGATACATAAGTTAAATCTATCTAATGAGGTAACTGATTACCATGCATGAAAAGTAGGACCACACCTATATTTGAACCATAATTTATTCTGTGGTATGAAACATGAAAAAGTCAATTCTAAAGCAGTGAATGGGAAGGAATATATAAAACAAACTGGCTGAAGCAATTCAGGAGAATGGATTATTAAGCTTAAAAATAATGATCAAAGCCAAAGTTACTTCTTCTGGCAAGAAAAAAACCTAGATTCAAGAAATTAATCACACCAGAATAAGAATATGGTCTACGCAGTTTAAAAGAACAGTATTTCAGAAATCTTTGAACTCTCTCTAACTTTTGGATACATGCATTTGCATAGCTTTGTTGCATATAAGATCTATTTGCAAATTAAAAGACAAATTTCTGAGAAAAACCATACTATAGATCTGTAACATTATTGACTCTCTGAATCAAAATATTCTCTAAATTAAGTACCATCGACTCAAAAGATCTATAAAACTGGATCACCCGATATTTAAATATATATACGTGGGACCAAATGTGAAAAACGTTCTTTTTTATTGTAATAATTGTAATATATATTGGAAGTGAATTAAAAAAAATATTATTCAAACATAAAGTTAGGTTATAATTGACGTGTAAGTTTGTCCGATATTGATTACTCGATTACCGCAAGGCCGAGATATACAACAAAAAAAGAAGATGTATTTGGTGACTTTTCTAGTAACTTTCTTGGGTGTGAATCTGTCTTTTTGGTTTACTCCTCCTGGTTAAAAAACAGAGTATAGTAAATATTTAATGAAGTCAACTAATACTTCAATGGCGAATGGATTTAGTGTCCGCAGTCATTTAAACACAAACAAACAACAATACTTCAAACTTATGGGAACATGTCAACATTTGTACGCCTATTTTCAGCTCTGTAATTTAAAATACGATTCGTTAATTGGGTATATGAGCATAGTATAAAAAAGAAAGTAGTATAATTATATAATATGAGTATCATTAAATTAAGAAAACAGAATATTTCTTCTAAATCTCATATTCAGATTGACTCATCTTTGATTGATCTCAGAATGTCTGGGACTGTAGACATTTAACACTTAGAATAATGCTAGTCAGTTGTAGAATGAAGGTTTGATTTTTGTGTTTTCAAAAAATTTCTTTCTTTTAATTTTTTTGTTTTAAGATTCTATATTTATCGACAATGAGTACATTAGTATAGAATTTAATTAAAAATTTTTAATGCAACAAAGTTTTTAAATATTTTAAAGAATTGCAGCAAACGGAAAATTTGAATAACGATATAAACCGTTACAGCAGTTAAACAAAACAACTCTATTCATACACACTTCATTTGGCGCACAATAGGTTAGTAGTAATACAATTTGTAAAATATCGTAAATTAATATAGATATAACATTGAACAAGAGTAATAGCTTTTGGACTAACTTACCTTTATATCCGGACAAGTCATGATGTGCATTTCTGAATCAGGTTGAAGTACCGATATGGCATTCAAATTTTCAGTGTGACTAAGTAGATTGGCCAGGAACGACATAGCTTCTGTTCTAGGCGACGATTCCAACTTTTCGGTGTTGTTTAAAATTATATTACATGCGTGTATAAAATCCAACAACAACAATGATGCCCCAGGTAATTGAAGAGAAAAAAATCTAGGCCCCAGATATTTCAGACACGTGTTGATCACTAATTTCGAGCTACCAGTTAGGGCTGTAAATACGAGCATAATTATTACTAACGATAGGTATAAAAACAAAAATATATGTTTGTATATCATAAAATAACTTATAACTAATAAAAATTATTTTTTAATTCTTCAATGTCTTTTTTTTTATCCACAACGAAGAATAAACCTCAATTCCGAAAAAAATATTTGGCAGATTAAAGCAACGTAATATTTTATGTTACCGATTAAAATGTTAGTAAAAAAAATACATTTATCTTTTTTCTTCTTTTTTTTTCTTTTCTGGAAGTAGTCTATTGTATTCCAGTCGTATTCTACCAAATAGATTATAGTACATCTTCCACTAATTGGGTGGTGTCACATTACAGGTGTCACAAAAAGCTTGGTAATAAATTATACCACGATTTTTAGAGATGAAAATAAGTCGATTTGGCCTAACTTACCTATATGCAAAAAAATGCACCGAGAAAAAATTACGGGATGTAAAAGTTACAAAATAAAACAGAACTGTTTAATATTGCTCCAAAACGGTTTAAAACCTTTTTATGAAACTTTATATATTGTGTTAGCATGCCATAGCCAATAACACCGAAATAGCGAAAATATTTTGTTTTTCTCGATTTTTCTAGAGTTTAGGGGGCGACTTACACCTTCACCCCCCCCCCACCTTTTTGCATCCGGGACGTTAATAAAATGTCTTGTAGTATTTATTTGTAAAATCATTAATTTATAAGTGACAGCCACTGTTTTAAATGCCAAGCTAAAATAATACAATATAAATTTTCACAAATCTCCAGTTTATTATTCGAGTAGGCAAATTGTCACTGTCAAATCGTGTTCTCACTCTTGACAGTGGTTTGACAGGTATTGTGAACGACTGAATTAATTTGATTTAAAATGAAAAATTATAGTATTAATCAAATAGGTTTTTGTTTTTGGGGATATACAGTGCGTTAAGTTTTGGATTAGGTATACACTCTATAAATGGCAACACTGCGCGTCGTCGACTTGCACTACATATCTGCTTCGTTGACTCGTCGCCCGTCGGCAAATTTGTCATATTGTCATTATACCGTGGTTGTTTAAAGGTATAACAGCGTAGAGTTTTAATTTATTTTTGTAAACATGTCTGTTTATATGGCCGCGGAAAAAGCTCAAATAATAAAATGGTTTTATAGTGGCAATTCTGCGTAACAGTGTGTAGATTTATTTTTTGTGTTTTTTGAGGGAAGACCAATTCCTTGTGTACAGTCAATTTATAATATTATTAAAAATTTTGAGAGTTGTTATTGCCTCAAAAATTGCAGAAAATGTCACGCTCAAGAAGTGTTACCAGAAAAAGTTGAGGAAAGAGAATACCGAGATACACAAATTTGTGCAACAATCGAGGTAGATTCAACACGTTCAAGTAGAAGCGTTGCTAGAGAGTTAGATGTTAGCAATGTTACTGTTACGAAAGTATGGAAAAAGCACGGTTACAAGAATTTTAAATATTCGAAAACGCAGCAGCTTTATCCAGACGATTACTTTCGAAGAATGGAGTTTTGTGAAACTCTAATAACGAAGGCTAATAGTGAACCAAATTTTATTAAAAACATTTTATTCACTGATGAATCTTCTGTTTCGTTAGTAGGGAGACACAATCCTTCCATTACGAGGTATTGGGCGCGGGAAAACCAGCACAGAAGTGTTGTTTACCGAACTCAACGTCCTCAAAAAGTTCAGTCTTAGCCTCAAAAGTACTCAACGTCTGGACTGGTATTTTAGGAGACCACATAATAGGTCCATTTTTTATTGAGGGCAACTTGAATAGTAGAGTATACCTCGATTTGTTACAGAATCATGTTCTTCCCGCTATTCTCAATCTTACTGATGTAAATCTTGAGAATGTTTGGTTTCATCAAGACGGCTGTTCAGTTCACAACGCTCGAAATATTAGGGAGTATTTAAACAATACTTTCCCGAATCGAGTTATCAGTGGAACAGGCGATATTAAGTGGCCTGCGCGATCTCCAGATCTTACACCCATGGACTTCTTTTTTTGGGGACATTAAAAAGCATTATCTACGCTCATCCTGAGGCTAGAGCCCAAAATTTTGATGAATTAAAAAATCGAATAAGAGAAGTCTCCAATTCTGTTACAGCAGAAACTCTTTCATCTGTTCGCAGAAGTTTTTATGACAGATTGGGGTACTGTTCAGCCGTAGAAGGTCAACTATTTGAACCATTTCTGTAGGTCATAAAGAATTATTTTTTATTTTATTAGGAATAATATTTTAATTTTCAATAAGAGTATATTTTTTATTTTATCTTTTTAAAGAAATACGCTTTTATTTTTAATTCAACCACAAAAAAATTTTCACATTAATAAAAATCGATAACAATGCACCGATTAGGTCAGTGCATTTTTATCGAATTTCCTACTATTAAAATCGGCTATACGTAATGAAACATGAGATCGGACGACAGAGAAGTACATCCCAAACGTTGTTGTGAGTTACTAAACTAAAATAAATGATTTTCTGTCGGTGCATATAGTCTCGGGTCGGAGAACGAAGATTTGCAACGTTGCCGATTTTAGCGCTCCGTATAGTGTGCAATACCTAATCAAAAACTTACCGCACTGTATGCAAGATTCTGTTTATTCTGTGGAAAAAGCTAGTGAAGAACAATTCAGGAACCAAATTTTAGAAGCTGCTAATGCATTTAGACAGACACATTCATTTGATTTCTCAAAATATTGTTAAAACGATGTAGAGCCTGTATACAGGGAGGGGAGGTTATTTTGAACACCTTTTAAAATATGAATATCTTTTCTGTTCCTAACTGAAAGTTAATAATAAACAAAGTATTTGTACAAATGTAGTATTACATTTAAAATGAACTCTATGCAAAAGTGCAAACAGAAATTATAACTTAAACCCTGAGTACCGTAACTCACTAAGGTCATCTTTAAAACATTACTCACCTGTATGTAGAAATCTATACACCTGTGGCAAATACGTCCGATGCTTGCTATCACAGTTAACAGTTATAGTACAAATAAGCCTCAAGGCGTTTAACTTTCCAGCTTCGTAATTACTAGGTAGCACCAAAGCCCCAAAACACCATGGAAGGATTAAGGTCAATGGGGGGATCAACTCTGGAGGATGCGGAGTACTCATGTTGTCGAATGAAATGCCTTGGTTCCGACTTAGTTTTATTAGTGTGTCGGTCAGTTTTACCAAATATTCAAATACTTGAGCATGTAGTTTTGGGTCAGAAATTTTGTTAATATCTCCCAGTGCACCTACAAAAAATGACATTCAATGCAATTAAAATAACACAATTTTTGCTTAATGTAGCTTTTATAGAATAAACAAAGGCAGACAATCACGCCAGATCAATGAAAATTCGCAGTTGTAATTAAATGGAACGCCTACATCGCAACATATTTATGCAGATATAAACCAGCCCAAATTACTCCAATATAGGCGAGCGGTTCACCCATATTGCAGAGCAAAAAACTAATATTTTTTTTGCATTTCTACAGCACCAAAACTTTTTTATTCCATTTTATATATTTTTTCAGTTCAAATGTATTTTTTTTAGTTTTTCCAAGAGGATCGGCAATTATTGGGCCGGAAATTGTTATTAACAAATAAAAACAAAAAAAAAAAAAACAATTTCCCAAATCGCCTTAAGTACTCTCTTTTTAGACGTATCTCATCGAAATAAATACTTTTACTTTCTTGGTAGTTTTTCGAAAAATGCTTCCTTTTCGAGTTATTTGGAATTTTTTGTTGAAAAAATGCCTTAACTGTCCTACTTTATGTAATAGTGTCCGTATTTGAAAGTAATTTTAAAATATTGAGTTTTACTCTGTTCACAGAGTTTCACACTATTGAGTTTTTTTCTGTAAAAGTTTTATAGATATATATTGGGTATTCATCAAACAATGTAAAGTATCTTCTGATCACTACACCTAAGCCAATATGGACATATAATAAAAAAAATCATAGTAGCAATAGTCCAGTTCTATGTCTCGAGCAGCATAGTAATATTATTTTTAAATAAATGCATAGTAAAATGAAGTGAGCGATTTTCAGTGATAATACGTACAATTGGTCATCTTGAACAAAAATTAATAAGAAACTTTTATTTATTTTAGTTTTATTTGCTAAATTGTAAAAAAATAGAATTTAGAATCCAATAATTATCTAAAGTTTGCTAGATAATCTTGAAACTTACCCAACATCCTTTTCCATATAATTACAGCCACATCGGGAAGCCAACCTCTTATGGATCCTCCACAAATAACCCCTCTATGTTCACCACCAAATTCTAAGGTTTGGTGATCAGCGGATAACATATCTAATTGAATTGGTGAATCTTTGATAGAATTACTTTCCATACCACTGGACGGAGCTGGACTAGGTGATCGAGTACGGTCAGTAGATTCAGTATCTTGAGGTGCAAGGAATTCTAAAGATTTAGAGCGTCGTCTATTAAGCTACAAACAAAGAATAAATACATATTCCATATTTACATTTTCAGAAAACTGTTAGTACATAAGTTTAGTATGACACTATGAATCAAAAGGTTCCCTTTAGATTAACGTAAAGTAGCCATCCGATAGGCGCGCCACCAAAATAATTAGAACAGTCGCGCGTATCTCCGACATACGCGTCTTTATTTTAAGCAATGGTTGAAAATAATATTAATAATATATTTATTTAAAATATATACCAAACAACGTTGACGTTTATAAAGCATATAGAAAAAAAGATACAGAAGTGAAAAAACAAATAACACCACAAAATAATGAAGAATGGGAAAGAACCTACTTAAATATTGAAACATACATAGGAGGTACAAGAACTTCGGAGTCATGGAAAATACTGAGAGGATTGAAACAAAACTCAAAAGAAAAAATTAGCTTGGGAAATATACAGGACAAAAAATGGAAGGACTATTACAAGAAATTGTTAATAGAACAAAGACCACAATTCATTGAAAATGAATCCCCAAAAAGTATAAGAAAAAGAAATAACAGATAGCGAAATGAGAACAGCCATAAAAGCAATCAAAAATAAGAAAGCACCGGGACCTGGAGGCAACTCACCTGATCTTATAAAGTACGGCTCAAAAAAATTAAACCGGATGATAAAATGGATATTTCAGAAAGTCATAAATGGAGAACAGCTCTCAAAGGAATGGACAGATGCATATATGACATCTATATTTAAGAAAGGAGATAGAAAACGATGCGAACACTATAGAGGAATAAGCGTAATATCACAAATAGGAAGATTATATGGGAAGATACTGCGAGAAAAGAGAGAGCGCAAGCGATAAACGGCAAAATCGTGGAGGATCAGGCAGGCTTCACGACAGGAAGATCATGCATAGACCACATATACACACTGGAACAACTGTTGAAAAAGAAAAAATAGAGATATACATTTGGCATTTGTGGACCTGAGAAAGGCGTATGACTCTGTAACTAGGTTCGAACCATAGGAGGCAATGTACAAATTAGAAATAGAGACGGAACTCATAGAAGCTACAAAAGCTCTGTATAAAGAAAATAAAGTGTCCATTAAAATTTACTAATGTTTGTATTTTGAGAACGATTTCCGAAGTGTAAATTGAAACGTCAATAAACGTATTTTAACCTTTAATTGTGGCTTATTCCCAGTTAAATAGTAATTACATTAAAATGGGAACAAGAATAATAGGAGACTTCACCACAACAAAAGGGTTCCTGCAGGGTTGTTGCATATCTCCAACCCTGTTCAAAATATAGTTAGAGAAAGCATTGACTACATGGAAAAGAAAATGCGAAGGCATGGGAGTACCGGTACAAAACGAATACGTTCAGCTTTACAGACGATCAAGTAGTGATTGCACAAGATCAAGGAGACCTCAGTTATATAATGAAAAAACTAGAAGAAGAATATATCAAGGTTGGCCTACATATTAACCTAGCGAAAACAGAGTACCTATCTACAAGTGAAGAAGACATAGAAGATGTACTTGGTAGATAACTTTCGGGAAAGCCTCAGGTAAAGGATTGGCTAAAGATGGTATAAGCCAGTTTGGTAAAGTACTTTATTCGAAATGTGAAATTTTCGGTGATATACTGTCACCTTCATCAGCACCTAAATGGAAAATTTATTTAGTACAAGTGATGGAAATGGCATTTTAAAACATTGAAAATGTTCAGTATTGTTGAACATTGTCATAAAATGTGTTAAAAAATAATTTAAAATTTTAAATAAAAACATTACAACATAAAAGGGTATTTTTACAAATACAACTCAAAAACATCTAAAAAAAACAACAAAAACTACAACTTCATGTCAAAGGCACCTCAAAGAGAAGAAGCAGAATAGAAGAGTTTTTCTTCTTTTGTTGAAAATCTTGCTGATAAGACATTTCAAGACTAAAGGAATTAAAGCGTCAGTCAGTCAAGACTTGCAGATAAAAGGCTCTTAAAGAAAATGCTCTAAAACTAGGAAGGGCAAAAACCGAATATCTAAAATGTTCATCTCCAAATGGAAGTATTACTAACTTTGGATGATGAAATAATATTGACTACTAATATCGATATTAGAGTCAGTATGAGAGTAAATGGGAAATATACGAAGATGTGTGCAGTAGTGTTGAAGCAAAACTAATTCCAGGAAAGGAAGAGAGTTGTGTGTCAACCGCCATAAAAGCCACGTTAAATGTAAAACAGTTCAAAAGAAAAAGAAAAACAAATACATGTTGAGGAAATGAGACATTTAAGATGGATACGTGTAATGATAAAAAGAATAAAATTAAAAATGAATATATTAGGAGAAATCTTAGGAAGTTAAAGAGGTTAGAGCACGTCCAGTGCTAAAATAAATAATAAACTATAATACGAAGAAAAATAAAACCGTGATATACTTACATTTCTTTGTTTGATTTGCGAAGATCTACGCTTTAACGTCAAGTCGTTATCACTGTAGCTTCTGGATAATGTTGATCGTGTCCTTTTTGATAAGAGCTGACCATCGGGTAATGCGGAATCTTGTCGAGAGACTACGGGATGGACGGGTTCGCCTGTACTACAAGGTGTACTTTGTTCTTGTCTCTGTGTAGTTCTTCTGCTTCTCTTTGACCTGTTATCATTTAGTCTATCCAAAGGTAAATTGGTCAGATCTAGGTTATAAACATGTCGGGCTAGCACTCTCGTAAGTGTTTCCATGGTTTTCTACAAAATAAAAAAGTAATAGAAATTGCGTGGTTGCGATGCGTGTTTGTTAACGCTATAATATAAATAACGGATAAACGGCTAAACTAAATAGCAAAAATTAGATCATCGCCGCTAGTGGCTTATTTCGGGCACATTTGCAATAATACCCTTTTTCCAACAATATAAATGCAAGAAGAATTAATGAGATACATAATTGAATGGGCAGAAGGTGGGTTAATCAGAGGGGTAGTTGGCAGTATAATTATGTGCTGCAGCCAAATGTGCTTACCGATGAACCAAGTCGATGCTAAGTCCATCTTAGCTAAGCCTTTTTTATGTCAGCTACTGTGGGATATATTACAATGACGATAATCTCGCATGAATACATGATCTTTTGAAAACCAATGGCTCGTGAGATGACAAAGGAACTTTTTAGTGCAACTGATTTTTATATCAAAGAAAAAGATTTTCTCAAGAGCTATCTGTCTTTTCTCTGTGTCCACAAAAGGCTAAATAACACATTAAAAAGCATAATATAACATAATACAGCATAAAAACGTTAGAGTAACATCCATGAGTCTAGAGGGATTACTTGGTACCAAAAAGATTTTACTTTCTTGATCATGGACTCTTGCTCTTCATCCGAGTGATTGTAATACCCTTTGTTGATACGTAAGACAAGAATCCAGGTGAATTTTAGATGCCTTATGTCTTTCTGTGGTCTTTATAATGTTTCCAGTCGTCATAGCCGTCCACTAAATATCTTGTATTTTTTTAGATGCCTGATTTGCGAATAACCAACAAGGTTCACACTACGCCTTCTGAAGTATTAAGGAACTGGATAGCTAGTCATGTACGTTTAAGTTTCACACCATATTACGAAACAATATAGTAATGTTTTTCTAGAAAAAATCTGTTATCACTGTCTTAGGAAGAATCCTTAGGTTCACAATGTCAGATTTCGATCACGAACCGTTTCACTTGATCATATTAGTGCAATTTCTCTAATATGCAGTATGGTTAACACTAAAATATGGTTCACTTTGATTTTTACTAGTACCTTGTGGTTATTGTAGATGTTCTGGATATATACTGGCGTCAGGTGCTGCATCTGCCATACTGTTACGTTTAGTTAAGTCCAACCAATATAACTACGAAAAATCAAATACACCAATGACCAATTTTCAGAACAATCAAAGGAAGAATGCTTAGTACAGCTCTTAGAATTTAAAATATACAAATCTGGGATTCCCCTGACATCATTGGTCGTTTGGTATACTTTTGGTTAACAAAGTGCGGGAATTCCCCCAGCGTACGAGCCTGCCCGCGCCACCTTATAGACCAGTCTATCTGTGAAAAAAATCGTAAAATTTCACGTAAAATTTTGAAGGTTCTAGTAGGTATATGAGGGGTAGCTGGTGACAAATTCGTGAAGACGTACAGCTGATTTTGCTTTGTTTTTATAAACAACGTTAAAAAGTGAACAAAATATTTTTGCCTATAAAATGTTTCTTGTACATTTTAGAGAAAAATGGTTCAAACAGAAATTGTAGATCATTAAAAGTTCTGTTATTTTAAGAGTTCTCACATTACAATATGGAAACAATTGACCGAGATAATCTCAAAAAACCATTAGTTTTGCAGTGATTAATGAATGTAATACAACTTCTAGAAATTGTGACAGTTAATGAGTTATTAAAGTGTGCTACATTTCCACCAGAGCAACCAAATAGTTTATAAGTTATTCAATTTGTTTATCCCGGAGACAGATTAGTTTAAAGACTATACTTGTCAACAGTCATTCTAGACGTATTTTGTAAATCGTAATCGATTCTATTATAAGGCTTTATTTTTTAAGATGTATTAAAAATAACATTTTTAAATTTGTTACTAAAAAACAGTTTGAAAAAGAGCTAACTTTTTAGTTTTTAAAAATATATAACTTTGACATTTTTAGAATTTGTAAATTTTGTTTATTTGAATTTGAAAACTCTCAAAACTAAGGAACTTTTTAAGATATACAACTTTTATTTAAACCATTTTTCTCTACAAGGTATAAAAAATATTTTACATGTAAACACTTTTTATAAAAATTTTTTACGATTGTTTAATAAAAAAAAAACAAAGCAAAATTAACTGTACCTGTTCACGGAATTGTGACCAGCTACCCCTCATAGACTTGTTAGAACCTTTAAATTAAGACTTTTTCTGCCTTTTTTCTTCCTTGACTGGAGTATAAGCACTGCGACAAAAAATGCAGCAACCAATGGATGAGTTCTAAAATTGATTCTTTGCTTATAAATGTTTTTAAATCTTAATTATTTATTTGAATTTGTATATGGGTTATATATATATATATATATATATATATATATATATATATATATATATATATATATATAAGATGGTGGTATTCTTGACTGTTGATTTAAATATAAGTTATGATTTTTGAGGATGCAGTCAGTTTATTTGGCCCACAAGACAAAGAAAACTCTTTGACTTACTGTCAAGCTTTCGAATTTTATTTAATTCTTTTTCAAGACATCTATAAAAAGAAATATAAATTAACTAGTTAAAATTGTTAATTGTCTTACTTACTAGTCGTGAGATTACAGTTGTTAATATTGTACTCTACAAAACAAACCATTATAAATATATTAACATTTTTTTTTATTAAAAATAACTATATTGTCACTCTATATGTCATTGTCATGGTTTGATTAATGGACATATATGAATGAAAATACAGTTATTTTATGTGGAAAGCAAAACCAGTAACAATAGTTTTTATTATAATTTATTTAATTGTCTATAAAAAATATAAATTAATCCAGTCAGCAGTTTGGCTTAAGCACATATGAATTTTTAACGTTAGAATGTCAATAGAAAATGAGATTTTGACGGTATTTATTGATATGTTAATATGTAACAATAAATGTTACTTAATTTGTCAATATCTGATCTTCTATTTACACATTTTTTATTTTTTTGTATATGTGTCATTTCTAAAAATAACCGTTTCTGTTCATGTTTCTGCCTCTCTAGAATTGAAGCCTGTGAAAAATTAAATGTGTGATTTAGATTGATGGAGTGTTCAGCTAATGCACAAGCTTGTGATTTCTTAGTTTTTACATCACTTTTATGAGAAATAATTCTGCTGTGTAATGTTCGAGAAGTTTCTCCTATATAAACTTTCTCACAGTCTGAGCAAGGTAAAAAATTTTAATATATTTATAATGGTTTGTTTTGTAGAGTACAATATTAACAACTGTAATCTCACGACTAGTAAGTAAGACAATTAACAATTTTAACTAGTTAATTTATATTTCTTTTTATAGATGTCTTGAAAAAGAATTAAATAAAATTCGAAAGCTTGACAGTAAGTCAAAGTTTTCTTTGTCTTGTGGGCCAAATAGACTGACTGCATCCTCAAAAATCATAACTTATATATATATATATATATATATATATAATATATATATATATATATATAATATAATATATATAAGAAAAAAGAAGTACTTGTGACTAGTTTGAAAAAAATATAACACTGTTTTTGATGGGTTGGAGTCAATAAAAGGGGCTATTTGTTGACTATTTTTTACTCGAGCTTTCAATTGTGATTACAATTTTTATCAAGAGCTTCTAAAAAATACAAAATGTCTTACTAAGTTCTAGTTCAACTTTGTAAGACATTTTGTATTTTTTAGAAGCTCTTGATAAAAATTGTAATCACAATTGAAAGCTCGAGTAAAAAATAGTCAACAAATAGCCCCTTTTATTGACTCCAACGCATCAAAAACAGTGTTATATATATATATATATATATATATATATATATATATATATATATATATATATATATATATATATATAACTGAGTTTAAGTACTCTTATAAAAGTTATATTTTTTTACTAAATTTTGTTAAAAATATTAGGTCACTTCTCAGCTCAGGCCGGGGGCCCGTAACATTTTGCCACTCCTGACCTCTACTGTTACACCCATGGAGGCATGCTTTTTAGTTATGGTTATTAATATTAAATACCACTGCTTCATGACAGCAATACGTACTTTGGGAACCACTGATATAGATCATAATTACCTATAATACAAGAGCAGTTTATAAGAATCTATCCGCTAACTCTATAAGATATAGAATTCTTGAGGTACTTTCTGTTTTTCATAATACTTTTGACAAATTATTCTGTGCTTCTTGCTATTTTATACAGTTAACAAGTAGTAAATATGTATTTATTCATATTCGCTCTCTTATCTTCTTTAATCAGATTTATACTTTAGAACGGTTTCGACTAATAAGTTAAATTAAATAAAATACTCTATTATATAAAGATTTCTATATTATAATACTTACTGCCCATTCCTTTATCAATTCCTCCCACACAGTTAATGTGGTTAAAACTTGCAGAAATCTATCCCACAATTCCCTACTTATCATAACATTTAAATTAGCTTTAATCCAAGTGACTATAAGTGTTTGAAAAATCGCAGGAGCTAATTTTCCACCCAGTGTTAAAGTTTTCTTCTTGGGTGGGTTTTCTCCTAACACTAAAGATGTAATCTGAAGTAAAACTGTAAGAAGTTGTTCCCTGAAAATATATATGTAACAAGTAATTTCAGACTATTAGGAAGTTCTTTATTTTATTATTTTTAATTAAATGGAAATTAAAACTAAATGGGAATATTTCAATGAGGGCAAACAAAAATTTTAATGTTTCAGTTTCATGATAAGTATATTATTTCAGTATAACAAATCAGTAAGGGTAGTATACAGTATGGTGGAAATGAAAGGAATAAATTCGTTATTTCGTAAACCGGAGACTTTAAGGAAAAATCCTGAAACCCGTCGATTTTTATTTTTAAATAAGCTATTCGTAAGAATACATTTTTATTTTTGACGTCATCTATGTGAGTGTGATGACGTCATTGCTAAAATTTTTAAATAGAAAGGGGGTATTGTAATACATCATTTGAAAGGTCTTTTAAATACCTATTCAGCCATATCAATATGTCTGAGTATTTGATGTTTGTAATTGTTTAAAGGGGTGTAGGGTTGTGTTATAGAGGTAGTACCTTTTATCGGAACGACCACATCGAGCGTCATAGACGGGAGATGGTTCTTGATTACTGGTCCTCATAAGACACCCAACTCTCACTTATGGCTCCACGTGCCACACCCTGGGCAACTGCATTGGTCTGCAGGCTAAACTAAGTGAGGGTAACCAGATATGGTGAAAATAGCAACGTCTGTACCCAGAATGGGCGGTTGCAAACGGCGTCTGTTCCATAGTGGGCGGCTGAAAACTAAGCCCTGAAGCGGCATGAAGGAAGGCAACGGGATACCACCTTCATTATATTTCCCAAGACAATCACATGAATACATTCAACTCAAAATTATCCGGAGGTATAAATAGTTCCCCAATCGGATCTCCGGGGGAGCGGACTTGAATGTTTCAAACGTACGAGCAAACTTAAGAAAGACATTAAAGATAGGCACCTGGAATACACGCAGCTTATTTGAAGCCGGAAAGCTGGCTAACCTAACTCAAGAAATGAACAGATTAGATCTAGATATTCTTGGGATCTCAGAAACCTGGTGGCCTGGATCCGGTAAATGCACTACAGAAAGCGGAACATTCTTTTACTCAGGCAATGATGACCGCGATCATAGAAAAGGTGTCGGGATTATGATAACTAAAAGATTGGTGAGAGCTGTCACAGAGTTTGTACCATATTCCGACCGCACAGCCTTAGTAAAACTTGAAGCGAAGCCAAATAATCTCAACATCATACAGGTTTATGCACCAACTACAGACGCATCAGATGAAGTAGTGGAAAACTTTTATAGTGAAATCAAAGAACTACTTAAATTGACAAAGAAACATGATGTCAACATAATTATGGGAGATTTTAATTCCAAAATAGGAAAGGGCAGCTTTGAAGACATAGTTGGACCCTATGGTCTTGGAACAAGGAACGAAAGGGGCGACCGACTTATACAATTTTGTCAAGAAGAAAACATGAGAGTTACCAACACATGGTTCCAACTCCACCCCCGTCGCCTATATACTTGGAAATCTCCAGCCGATAGAGCTCATAACATAATAAGAAACCAGATAGACTTCATTCTTATAAACGGTAGATTCAGCACAACTGTCAAAAGAGCTTGCACATACCCTGGAGCAGATGTCCCTTCTGACCACGTACTATTAGTGGCCGTCATAAAGATCGCTCTTTCATGCAAGAACAAGCCTGAAACTCAACAACAGATAGCACTGGATAAACTGAAAGACCCAGTGATACAAGCAAAAATAAGCAATGAAATAAACGCACAAATTCAAATATTAACGACAAACATTACCGAAGATATAACACCAACATGGAATACGATTACAAGTGCTGTAACAGACATCATGAAAAACAACTTAGGGTACAAACGAAATAACAAGAAGCAAAAATGGATGACAGAAGAAATACTATTACTAATGGAAGAACGACGAAGACACAAGAATAACCAAGATGGCAGCAATATGTATGAAAACATTAACAGGCAAATAAAAGCAAAAATAAGAATAGCAAAAAATGAATGGCTTAAGCAACAATGTATCGATCTAGAACATTTACAAAGACAACACGACGACCGTAATTTACATAAAAAGCTTAAGGAGACTGCTGGAATATACAGAAAACGAAGACCAACTACCATAGTTAATCAGGATAACCAGATAGTGCTGGGTGAAAAGGAGAAAATTGATATATGGGAAAATTATATCCAGGAGCTCTTCCATGACGAAAGACCCATGAGTGAAGTTTATACAGACGACCAGCTGACTGGCCCTTCAATCACCAAAGAGGAGATAGAAAAAGCAATATTAAATTCAAAAAACAATAAGGCACCTGGACCAGATGAGATCCCGTCAGAAATACTCAAATTACTAGATGAAAGGGGAATTTCAGCACTACACAAAATATTTAATTTAATTTATGAAACTGGCTGCTATCCTCAACAGTGGTTACGCTCTACCTTTATTCCCCTGCCCAAGAAAGTCAATGCAAAAAGATGTGAGGATCACAGACTCATTAGCCTGATGAGTCACACTTTAAAGATATTCTTAAAAATACTACATCAAAGATTATACAAAAAATGTGAATGGGACATCAGTGATTCACAGTTCGGGTTTAGGCAAGGTTTAGGAACACGAGAAGCAATAGTAGCAACACAGGTACTGGTCCAAAATTGTTACGATCAGAGGAAGGATGTGTTCCTATGCTTTTTAGATTACAAAAAAGCGTTTGATCGTGTCCAACACCACAAGTTAATGCAGATTCTCAAGAAAGTTGATATAGACCAAAAAGACATAAGATGCATTGAAAACTTGTACTGGCATCAAACGGCACAGCTAAAAATAGACAATTCTATATCTAAGCCCATACATATAAGAAGAGGCGTTCGACAGGGATGTGTGCTTTCCCCTCTTTTATTTAACATTTATTCAGAAGCCATATTTCAAGAGTCTTTGGAGGATGCAGAGATGGGAATCAAGGTGAATGGAGTATTGATCAACAACATAAGATATGCTGATGATGGTGTCTTAATTTGTGACAACATAGTCGATCTTCAACAACTTGTCACTATAATCGGAGAATACAGTGAGCGAATGGGACTAGAGATTAATACCAAAAAGACCAAATTCATGATCATCTCCAGAAACTTGGATGCATTTGAAAACTCCACCATAACACTGAATAGTAAATCCATAGAAAGAGTGAGTAAATTTAAATACCTGGGATCGTGGCTTTTTGAAGACTGGGCATCGGACAGGGAAGTAAAATGTCGCATTGAGCAAGCTCGACAAGCTTTCGTAAAATTCAAGAAGGTACTGACTTGTTCTGAGTTCGATCTTCAACTGAGACTAAGGTTTACTAAGTGCTACGTATGGTCAGTGCTGCTATATGGCGTAGAGGGCTGGACACTCAAAACGAGCGATATAAACAGATTGGAAGCTTTCGAAATGTGGCTTTATCGCCGTATCCTAAAAATACCATGGACAGCGAAAATCACAAATATAGATGTCCTTAAAAGAATAAACCAAGAACGCCAACTTTTCGAAACCATCAAGAAAAGGAAAACGGCGTATCTAGGTCACATCATGCGAAATGAAAAATACCAGTTCCTCCAACTTATAATCGAGGGTAAAATTGAAGGCAAGAGAGGAATGGGACGCAAGAAAATGTCCTGGCTCCGAAACATAAGGCAATGGACAGGGATTAACGACATACAATCTCTGATACATATTGCAAGAAATAGAGAGTTAATGGAAAATGTGATCGCTAACATCCATTAGTGGATTTGCATCTGAAGAAGAAGAAGAATTGTTTAAAAAAATTATTAAATATTTATTATTACAATAATTATTTATTAAGTATTGATATGATGTATTATTGACACCTAAAAATAAATTTTATAAAGGCCATCATTGGTAATGAAATGTCTTTTTTATCTACTTTTTACCTTTTTAAAAAAACTAGTTACCTTATCAATATGAACATTGATAGTTGGACATTCAAACTTAATTATCTTTCTGTCAAGTGATTAATAGTATTATTGTAGTAAACGTATTCAAAAAGTCTTTGTATCTTTGAACATGAAGCTAACTGAAACGCAAAGAATTGAAATTCTCATAATGATTGGTTATAGAGATAAAACACGTACGCAGAAAGAAGTATGTGCGTTATTTAATAATAAATACCCCCGTCGAGAACCGATTTCACAATCCACTGTAAGCAAAATTGAGAAAAAATTTAGAGAAACGGGTCATATTAAAGACCTTCCTAAAGGTAGTAGAAAACCAATATCTGAAAACCAACAAGTAGACGTTCTGTTAGCTTTTCAAGATAATCCTCATAACAGTTCACGGCAAGTAGCATTAGATAATGACATGGACCATTCAACAGTTCTTGAACAGCTAAAGAAGGAAAAGTGGCATCCCTACAAAGTAAGTTTAGTACAAGAACTTATGGAAGATGATTTTGATAGACGAATTGAATTTTATGACATTATTATGGAACGAAATAACAGAGATCCGATGTTTTTAAAAAAGATTATTTTCTCTGATAAAGCTGCATTTCTACTAAACGGTCATGTCAATCGTCAAACTTGTCGGTACTGGGCTACGGAAAATCCACACTGGATGCAAGAGTACCGTACTCACTACCCAGAGAAAATTAATGTTTGGGTGGGAATAATAGATAATATGATTATTGGACCATACTTTTTCGAAGAAAACTTAACAGATCCTCGATATTTAGAATTTCTTCAAAATTTCTTGCTTTCAGAATTGGACCGGTTGTTTCCAAATGGAAATGATTTATGGCTACAGCAAGATGGTGCGCCTCCACACTATGCTGTCTTGGTACGCAACTACTTAAACAACGTCTTTCCAAATCGGTGGAACAATAGAATGGCCGCCTAGGTCACCTGATTTGACTCATCTTGATTTCTTTTTATGGGGATATTTAAAAAGTAAGGTGTGTCAAAATAGAGCACAAAATATTAATAAACTGAAAGAAAGAATACCTAATCAGGTTATTTAAATAACTCCGAAAGTTTTAGAGAATGTTAGAGAAGAGTTCGCGGCACGCCTTTCTCATTGTATTTTAGCTGAAGGTAAACAATTTGAGCACTTAATTTAGATTTCGTTGTATTTATTGAATAATACTTAATAAATATGTTTATTGTAATAATAAAAATTTAATTATTTTTTTAAACAATTACAAACTTTAATTACTTAGACATATTGATATAGCTGAATAGGTATTTAAAAGACCTTTCAAATGATGTATTACAATACCCCCGTTTCTATTTAAAAATTTTAGCAATGACGTCATCACGCTCACATAGATGACGTCAAAAATAAAAATGTATTCTTACGAATAGCTTATTTAAAAATAAAAATCGACGGGTTTCAGGATTTTTTCTTAACGTCTCCGGTTTATGAAATAACGAATTTATTCCTTTCATTTCCACCATACTGTATATAGTATATAATCAGTATAAGTATCAGTATATAATATAATTATACAAAATCAGTATAATTATATTATAATTATTTCAGTATAACAAAAATTAATAACTATTAATTCATAAATTTATATAAATAAGTATGTTCCCGTTTTCTAGAATTTTCTTAATATTAATTATGTGGTTAATATCTCCTCCATTTCTTTGTTGTTGCTAAGTATTCAATTTGAATATCTTTTCTTATCTTTCAATCACTACCTGATAAGTTTTATTATGAAAAATTTACCGTGTTCAGATCTTCCGTGAGAAAACTTAAGAAGAGTTTTCCTGAGATGATTACCTTTTCCAATATAGTCCCTGTTCTCCTTGACCAAATAATCTAAAGTAGAATTGATCTGTTTTTGATGACAGCCTCATTTTTTATTCTTTTTCAGTTTGGTGGTTTTGATCTACGTAATAGCAAGAAGTATATGTATTTTCAGTTTAGAGCTCCCAACTAGACGACTGCGAATGATGTACAACCAGAGAACTACGAACACAGAGAAGCGACACGAGGCCCGAAATCCGTGTATCTTTTCTGTATACGCATGACCCAAATAGGGTGCCTTACTGTCAAAAACACGTGCGCTTTCTTCAACTTTGGTTGCTTACGATAGTCCGTAGGCATCTGTGGTAAACTCTCGACTATACAAGTGCATTTGACCATTTATCTAATTTACTTAGTAGTTAAAAGTTTATAGTTATAGTTAAAATATATAAGTTAAATATATAAGTTTATAGTTATAGTTTATAGTTAAAAGTTTAATTTATAAGGGCCGATTGTTCAATTGGAGATTATCTTCAGATTAAAAATAATCTTCAATTAAACTTAATATAGCGTTGTTCAATGCAAGTTTAGCACTTAACCATCTGTTAACCAGAGATTACCTTAATCGCCCAAAAACGAAGGATTAACGGTGTTAACTAGAGATTTGTAACCTTACTTTCTAGTTTTAAATTAAATATTGTCTCTTGACAGTTCTAGATTATAAAATATTACAAAATTATAGATTATAAGCTATTATAATTTCGTGTCGATAATAATAATTATGGCTATTGCAATTTAAAAATTTTTTGCTATTGCATTTTTTGCAATTTAAAATACAAAAATAATCACTTATACAAATCTCAAATAAACACAACAAATTCAAAGTGCAAAATGAAATGTAATGTAAACACAACGTCAAAGTCATTAACTTTTATATACGTACATAATATGAACACCAATGTTTATACCACAGAACACATTTATCTTTATAATTTTTATGATTAAGTTAATTAATAACTGGCAACATTGTCACCGCTACAGTACTTGAGTTTAATAAATTCGAAAGTTAACATGCATTGAACAACTTTTTAAGAAATAATCTTTCAATTAACTTTAATCATTGTTTACTTAATCCATGAGTTAACTATTGATTCAACAACTGGGCCTAAGGGCCGATTGTTCAATTGGAGATTATCTTCAGATTAAAAATAATCTTCAATTAAACTTAATATAGCGTTGTTCAATGCAAGTTTAGCACTTAACCATCTGTTAACCAGAGATTACCTTAATCGCCCAAAAACGAAGGATTAACGGTGTTAACTAGAGATTTGTAACCTTACTTTCTAGTTTTAAATTAAATATTGTCTCTTGACAGTTCTAGATTATAAAATATTACAAAATTATAGATTATAAGCTATTATAATTTCGTGTCGATAATAATAATTATGGCTATTGCAATTTAAAAATTTTTTGCTATTGCATTTTTTGCAATTTAAAATACAAAAATAATCACTTATACAAATCTCAAATAAACACAACAAATTCAAAGTGCAAAATGAAATGTAATGTAAACACAACGTCAAAGTCATTAACTTTTATATACGTACATAATATGAACACCAATGTTTATACCACAGAACACATTTATCTTTATAATTTTTATGATTAAGTTAATTAATAACTGGCAACATTGTCACCGCTACAGTACTTGAGTTTAATAAATTCGAAAGTTAACATGCATTGAACAACTTTTTAAGAAATAATCTTTCAATTAACTTTAATCATTGTTTACTTAATCCATGAGTTAACTATTGATTCAACAACTGGGCCTAAAAGTATTTAAAATGTCTTCTGGTTATTGTTGTGCGTTTCGCGGATGTTCATCTGTGACAGGAAAAGGAATCAGTTTATTTAGATTTCCTAAGAATAATAACAGGTAATTACTATTGCTTTGTAATTATTATTAGTTATTACATAATAGTATTAATTTGACTTTCGATCAGTAAGCCGACACCGACGTGTCCGCCCGAGCTCTCGTTAAGTGGAGCAATAAAAAAATAAATTTTGGTCTGCCAAGGGATAGTTCAGAATAAAAACCAGAGAACTATGAACACACATTAAATTTATTGTCTCCGAAGGCTCAGGTTAAAAAATCAACAGATGTTGGCCTACTTGCGTGAAAGCGCTCGCAGACAACAATACGAATATAGTATTTTTAGGAAATAAAAATATATAGAGGGTTTTATACACGAGAATATTTGATTTAAACGAAACAAAGAAATTCCTAAAATGCTCAAACTAAAAATTGTTGGAAACATAATTAGATCGAAAATTGGGAAAATCTTAAAATTACAACAGAACAAGACTTCAAAATAAAAACATGATTGCAAATAAACAAACTTACATTAACATAACTTCAAATATTTGCTGTCTTTTTCACCAAGCAAACTTACATTAAATTATGAAAAAACTAAATGCTCATCTACTTTTTGCTATATACAAAAGTTGTCTGTCAATGTTTAATTCGTTAAATATAAATAACAAAGATCAAATATATGGATCGGAGTACACAACATATTTAGGGAATAAATATTTAAATGGGAATACCAATTTAAAGGCAATACCAATCAACTAAAAATCGTATGTATTAACTCTAAATCTATTGTAAACAAAATAAATTGTATCGAAATATTAGTTTAAACTGAAAGTCTGGATTTACTATGTATATCCGAATCATGTGTAATGACAATAATATAAATTCGTTTTATCTTCCTAATGCTCTCTTGTAATGATTCGTAATACTTTTTTGATTATTTTTTAGGTTATTCCATTTTTATATTTATAGAAATATACTCGTACAATAGTCACTTCTTGATTTTTTATTCGTTTTAGTCGAATATCGTTTACTCCAATATTCGACTTTAAAGGAAAAATGTAATTTTAATAGGTTTCCAAGACATTAACAATGGATATCAATATAAAGTTTCTTGTTTCTCAGTCTCACCCAAAGAGAATTGGAATTTTTAGAGTTTGTGAAATTTCCGTGGCAGTTACAATGGCTTTGTTATTTTTCGATTATATTACGAAAGATAATTTATTAGGAAATTCCACGACGAACAAATTATATCTTGTATCAACACAAGCCAAAAAGAATCGGTGTATTATTGTATCATCAATGCCAACATCAGAATAAACAAAAAAGTATTTTCATCTATGGTTCCATCAATACGATTTTCACCATTACTTTGCGTTGTGGGATGTATTTGCAACCTTTTGTAAATCAAAAATAATTACACCATTTAGAATGTCAACAAAAGCCGGCCCTATATGTAATTATTTTTTCAGTGCAATATTTCATATTTATTGAAAGTCAACATAAATGCTCAATTTTATTTAAGAATTTATATTGGGTGACATGCCCACTGACTATTAGTAAATAGGTAGCTTTCCTGTCATTTTCACTCGTTGGCGGCTTGCCCACGCAAGATCAAAGGAGTGTCGCTTCTCTGCGTTCGTAGTTCTCTGGTACAACTTCGACTACTACGATGATACGCGTATTTATATTGTTATGGACTTTGATAATTATAACCAACAATAGTATATAGTAATGAGAAGTCGATGCTATTACAAAACATAAATAAAAATACAAATTAATAAAGAACCGATTTTAGACAAAATACGGGAGGCTCAAATAGCAGAAAAGATAACGTGCCCTGGACAAAAAAAATGCTTAAGAAACTGAAATAGTGAGAGGTGAAAACGTATATGAAATAAAGAAAAACTAAAGCAAAATATTTAAATTGGAGAAATAAAATAAGAACAGATAAAAAGTCTAGATTTAAGAGTTATAAAATATTTAAAAGAAAAGAAATTATTTTCGCTTCATATTAATAATGGCATAAGGTAAATTAAATCTTACCAAGTACTGCTGTCCATCCTTGTATTCATCACCATATATCTGTAGATGTTTAAAACCCTTTTACACGCATCAGTTTGTTCTTCAAGCATTCTCGGTGCATGAGAATTGATTTCTATTAAAAATACATTTGCCGCATGGGTCGTAAAAAGTTGATAAATGTTCTAAAAATAACAACATAAACAATATGTATATAGTTATATATATTAGTTATATTATAAGTTTAATATAATTGCATAATTTTTTAATTTTTTAAAGTACACAACATATTTTTTAAGAACTTAAAGTGCGATTAACATATCTGTTTTTATAAGCATATTTAACAACAAATCCATGGAGAATACTAGAAGCCCCGTTAGCCAAGAAAATTCATTAACCATTTTGAATGATAACAAAAATACAGGGGAAAAGATAAATGTAGGCTCAGATAAACATGCAATTGAAATTTGCAAATCAAAACCGCATCCTTATTCTCACATTAATTTTGTTAAAGAAAATATTGCAACGCCTACTGTAAATCTGGACCCTATGATCCCACCGAAGGTTAGATTAACCATGAACACGGACCCTTCCAACAATCGATATCTTCTAGCAAGATTAAGAGAACTAGAGATATTAAAAGCCATCAAACTGCATCTTGCCTTTCTGTACGACCAACCTGCTTCGGTTTGTTATGGTGGTTTTACGAAAACAAGCATCAAACTATTCTTGGCTTCTGAGGGACTTTCCATGACTACAAAAGATCTGCGAAAAATTAATTTGAAATTTCATGATGCCTATGGAATTGGTCCAGCTGAGGTAGACTGATTGGTATTCTGAGGGTCTAGAATCCTCAAATTTAACTGCTAGCAACTTTGGCATGGTTCTTATTAATATTCGATCGATTAGAAATAAGACAGACGAATTATTTTTGTTTCTGGAAGAATTAGGGTTTCCCCAGTTAGTTGCAGTGACGGAACACTGGCTTGAAGTTAATGGAAATTGCAAAGGAAGATGTAGCTAACGGAAGAAGATGTAGATAAAAAAAAATATAACCTCAACTATTTCGCCACAACAAGATCCAGTTTCCTATCTCTCTAATTCAAAAATCATTGCTGATACCTTCTTTTTAAGACCAGTTGATAAGACGGAACTCATTTCAACAATTCGTATTATAAAAAGCACATCGTCCTGTAGTACAGATGGATTATCTATTAAAATTTTCTCAAATCTACCGCATAATGTTTTGGAGGTCATGGTCTCGCTAGTAAATGATTCCCTTGAAAAAGGTACATTCCCTAACTGCCTAAAGACTGCCATCGTCATTCCTCTTCATAAAGGTGGAGAAAAATCTGATGCCTGCAACTATAGACCTATTGCCTTGTTACCAGCACTATCAAAAATTATTAAAAGACTTATAAAAGTTCGATTTATGCCCTTTCTCCTTAAATATAATATTTTATCGCAAAATCAGTTCGGCTTTTTGTCTAACTTTCTATGGAATTCGGGGTGTGTCTTTGAACTGGTTCAAAACTTACTTGGTAGGTAGGAAACAATTGGTTAGAATAAATGACACCAACTCTAGTTGTAAGGATATTGAGTGTGGAGTACCGCAAGGTTCAGTATTAGGTCCCATTCTTTTTTTACTTTTCATTAATGACATCACTTACTTGAAAATTAAAGGAAAAATTTTTCTATATGCTGATGATACAAGTATTACTTGGAGCAGCTCTGATATTTCAACGCTTCATTCAATTATAACCGCTGATTTACTTATAATCAAGGCTTGGTCAGACTCCAACTTACTTAGCTTTAACGTGGATAATACTGTAGCATTATCTTATAAAGGAGTCATGCAACCCTTGCTTTTGAATGAGAGCCAAATCAATATCGTAAATTCCGTGAAATTTCTAGGTATTCTCATTGACAGTGATCTCAAATGGTCCTTGCATACTGACTCCTTAAGGAAGAAACTAGCCTCAGCTTGCTTTGCAATAAGATCTGTTTCGAAGGAACTAAATTTATCTTCTGCCAAAATGGCATATTTCTCATTGTTCGAGTCCCATCTTCGATATGGGCTTCCATTTTGGGGTTCTAGTACAGCGGCCCAATTTGATACTATTTTTAAGTTGCAAAAAAGAGCAATCCGTTATCTATTTGGTCTCAAACAAACAACTCATTGCAAGACCTACTTCAAAAATCACGGAATTTTGACGCTTCCCTCTTTATTTATTTTGGAAACGGTTTGTTTGATTCGAAAGCATCTAAACATTTTTCCCGATAGACCTGACCATGGCTACTCCATTAGAAATTCGGATTGTAACGTTTATTTGCCGATCCCGTCCACTCAGCTAGTAAAGAATTCTATTCTATATCGTGCAAAGAAACTTTATAATCACCTTCTAAGAGAAATTAAATCCGCAACATCCTTCATTAAGTTTCGTAAGGTGACAAAAATATACCTCTGAGAAAGACCATATTATTCAGTTGACGAGTTTCTTAATGTATAACAAAGAAACAAAATTAGTATTGTTTATAATTACATTTGGGTGTCATAAGCAGTGGCTACAATTTGTCTCATTTGTTGTTGTCTGTACAAATTATGTAGGTTATACAATAATTTTACTAATTTAAAATTGTGTTATTCTGTTTTTTACTATATTTGTTTTTGTTTTATACTTTTTGTACTATTTGACTGATTTATTTTTTAGCTTTGTCCATAAAATTGTTCAATAATTTTCAGTGACAATAAAGCATATTTCTATTTAACAACATCTCTCAAAATAGTATCGATAATGTAAGTTTATTACTTGATTACGTTAATTAAAAAATTAGAGATGGAACAAGAACTTCGAATTCAGAAAGTAATAGCGGAATTGCTAGCCTTCATTCCACTCTAATGGAATTTTCATCTGGAGACAATCTTTTTACATTAAAAAGCAGTAGATAACTTAATAACAATCTAAGGTAATCAAGATCTCACACAACCTCAATAATTGTGGTGGACGCAGCTCAGTGGCTAGATACCCATTTATCAAGCCGGACAGCACGGGTTCAATCCCGACAAACACCATTCTAATTTAACTAAGCCGCCACCGTGCTTTAAAGGGCACATAAAGCCGTCGGTCCCAGCCTACGTAAGTAGTCGTTAAAATAAAAACCTGAGCTGGAAGATTACACGATTATAAAATGTATAATAAGCCAATTGACCGCAGTACGACTGGTTATAACAACAAGCGGCTACCGAAAAAAATCTCAAGCATTTATTAATGAAAAATTGAACAATAGAATAAAAATTTCTTTATTTGTTACAAGACAAACTGGATAGGCATTATTTCCAGATTTATTGACAAAATGCGGAGACAGACGTTTTGTAAATATTTTGGTAACTTGCACCAGTTCATAAGCAAAACGAATATTAAGACCAACAACACCAGTTAAAGAAAAACTCTAATCAAACAAAAACCACACAATCCAAACCAACTTCCGCATATCAATAGACCTGCAAACTTTCAACAAGTACAGTCAAACTTCTTAAAGCCTGCTTATCGCAATGTCGGGATTAATTTTAATTTTACTGCACAACCAAATACGCTCGATTCGCTGATCCTAGTTCTAACTGTCTAGTAGATTTAAGTTATTTTTTTTTTGAAACGTTAGTGAAACTTTGATCGACTGGAAGTGGCTGGAAATTACTATACAACCAAGCACACGTGATAATAACCAATATTAATTGTAACTTAAAGTAATAAATTATTTACCTGCAGTTTATAAACAAAATAAAACTGCATAAATTAAAACAGAAGTTTAAAAAATTTTATAGTCGTCTATAGATTATATATATATAGTCCCAAGATTCCTAAGAGGAACATAGGGCTTCCACAAAGTGTCTCCAGCGAACTCTATTTCTGGCTAGTGCTTTGATTTCAAGCCAGGATTTTCCCATTGTTCTCCCTTCGTCCAGTACTGTCCTTCTCCAAGTTCCCTTAGGTCTGCCTACTTTCCGTCGGCCTTGGGGATTCCAATCCAGTGCTGTCCTGGCAATGTCATTTGGCGGTCTACGGAGTGTGTGGCCCAGCCATCTCCATTTTCTTCGCCTTATTTGCTTTATGACATTTTCTTGGTTGCTTTGGTTCCATAAATTTTCATTGGAGATTCGGTTAGGCCAAAATATACGAAGGATTTTTCGTTACGCTCTATTAATGAAAACTTGTAATTGGTGTACTATGGGTGCTGATATCTTCCACGTTTCGCAGCCATACAGTAATACAGCTTTTACATTTGTGTTAAAGATTTTTAGTTTAGTTTTAGTTGGGTAAATCCTGGATTTCCATATGTTGCGTCTATAGATTAGTATTTGCAAATGGAAAGATTTTAATAAAAATTAATAAATGCACACTCCCATTATTCATGATTATTCTTCTTTTTTCAATGAAAAAGCAAATAGTTTATTGATAAGACTTCATATAACTCTTGCTGAAATCTGTAAACCTTTTATATATATATATATATATATATAATATATATAAATATATATATAATATATATATATATATATATGAAAACACTCCAGAATTTCCCACTACCAAAGGCGTCCGACAAGGAGATGTAATATCACCAAAGCTCTTCATTGCAACTCTAGAAAATATATTCAGCAAAATAAACTGTCAGAACAAAGGAATATCCATTGATGGAGAATACCTCAGACATCTAAGATTTGCAAACAACATCGTTCTGCGACCTAAATGCAGCTAGCAATAAAGTTGGACTAAAAATGAACTTAACACAAACACAAAGCCATGTGCAGAACGAGCTAGTGGATGTTCGAGATGTAATAATAAACAATATCGAAATTAGACAGTATACGAGTATGTAAACCTGGGACAATTAATACATAAATCTGGCTCCTTACCGTCAGAAATCAACAGAAGAATGAAATCTTCTTGGGCATCTTTTGATGTATACCAATCATGACATACGACTGCGAAACTTGGACACTAAAGAGAGAGATAATATCGAAACTCAAAGTCCCTCAAAGGTCAATGGAGCGATGCATGCTAGGTATAACAAAGGGAGATCGAAAAAGAATAGAATGGATCAGACAGAAAACCAAGGTGACGGATATAATCCATGCAATTAAATCTTTAAAATGGATGTGGGCCGGGTATTTAGCAAGAAGAACTGACAATAGGTGGTCCACTAGCATTACACTGGCATTCAAGAGGCGCCAAGAAGACGTCCAAATTTAAGATGGAACTATAACATAAGGAAATAAGCCGGTTCAACATGGCACAGAAAAGCGAATTTTAGATAATCATGGGCAGAAATGAAGAATGACTATATAAGAAAGGCTACCATAATCGGTGGAATATGCTGAGAATGTTGATGATATGATGATAATGATAATACTAAATAGCCCATTATCGAAAAGTCGACAAACACAAATTATTTTACAATAATTAGGGTTTTATTTCCAACGGGATAATTTGTAAAACCTGAGAGGCTAAAAGTTAAACAGTTCACAATAATAATTATTATACAACCATAAAATCTACAATTTCTGTTTATAATATTACCTGTGTCCCTGCTCGGACTAATAAGTTTTCTTTATGAATCGCTCCTAAGTATGAATCATTTCGTAATCTTGTAGGCCGCTCTATAACGGACATATCCTCATTACCGTTCCTAGGCACATCGTCCGGCATTTCCAAAGCATATGGAGGTATTTCAATAACATTGCCTTGTATTAAATCTTTGTATAATCCAATAATTTTTCTTATAGCCACGACGTGTGTGAAATTCAGAAGAAAAGCTTGTCGATAGAGTTCGTGGACAAAATTTATGTTGTCTCTAGTACTGTACAACACTTCTCGAACGATTTGTGGGCCCAGTTCTTCGTCGGAAGTAGTTCTATTCGTTTGAATTGATATAGCTAAAAAAATATATTCCACAAGTTAAATATTTCTTTTAGTATTTAATTTGATGAGTAGAAGGATCAAAACTAAATGGATTTTAGTGCAGAACTTAAATAGTCATTTTTAATAAATTACTAAGGATATAGCTTGGTACAAATTTTTATTGTTCATATACTCTGCACCATTAAGTAGTACAATTTTCAATATTTTTTATGTAATTTGACCTTAATGCTTTGTGGTTAGCAGAGCCTCGAAATTATACTCCTTGGGTTTCAATAGATTTTATTATAAATTTGTAGATGATTAAATCTTTTATGGTAATTTTGATAGTAGACTGTTTACTTACTGATAATTTTTGAACGTAACTTTCGTTGATTTGGTATAATTTACATTTACTTTCCATTTGTTAACGGGATTACTAATTGAGTGCTCTGAGTATATACGCTTAAGGAATATTTGTCGGGAGCTATTATGAACTTATCTTTGGAAAAAATTGTTTAAATACAAATTCAATAGACATTATTCAAGTGACCTATGTCAATGATGCTCAATATTGATTTACAGCAATTTGGATATTCTGTAAATATGATAAAAACTATTACAATAAACGTTAGTTACATTATATTTATTTTTCGTTGCTACATGTTTATTTATCGACTAAACTAAATTTCAGCTAGAGCATTTTAAAGTATTTTAATCCACGCGAAAATAAATTTCAAGTTATAAAACTTGTAAATATAGAAATAATGTTTACTTTGACAAGCCATATTTACAAAAAATTTCTAGAAAACTTAGGAATTTCTGCGAACATAACTATTTTATACTGTTTTGCACTGAAAATCATGGCTATATATTTAACAGCACTTTTGTATCCTCTTATGTTATATTATAAATTAAACAAGAATACATATCGCTGTATAACTAACAATACATAAAAATACTTAAGAATCTGTAAGACTTACTAGAATCCAAACTGGGATGGGACGAATCGTGTTGTGAGTCATCATCATGAGACGTGTGTGAATGTTGTGATGGAGACTGCATATTCTGTATCGAAGGTGGACCAACAGAACCTTCTTTATCTTGAGATTTTCTGGTTTGATGCATATAGTTGATGGTCCAAAGTATAAGACTTACTCGACACTGCACAAACTCATTTTCACTTTCTGGTCTTCTCAAAATAGGTAAATCTAAAAATATATCAAACATTTCATCTCTAAACTTTAAAATCAAAACTCATTCGGTTACCCCATGTTACCCCTCTCCAACATACACCATAATTATTTTTACTCATATAAACATACACTGATTTAAACTGATGTTTCTCTCAAAGAAAACTTAAAAAAAACTAAAATCGTCAATAAATATTTTTTTAGATATACAAGACGAATGAATGAAACAATCATTAATTCTTATAGAATAAACACTGAAAAAAATTAAAATAGACGACGAATAAGCCGGTAAATAGTACAACCCTAAAGAAAAGATAGCTATCGCCAAACCCATCCAGTTTATGGTACACTTCCCGTCATATAAAACTGGTACACTTTTTTTTCCCAATGTAAACCTGTGTTCAGAAATCAATTCGTTGTTGCCATTACAGATCACGGAATTGCACTAAATCTAAATCTTAATCTAAGAAATTAAATAAGCAGAAATAGAGTTGAGTTATTATCCAAAATAATTGAAGGATCTTTAAACCTAGAGTATTGGCACAGGGAACATTGGAATGCATCTACTGTAATTTTATACTTCAATTACCTACCGAACTCGAACTGTATTCTGTGTCAATAAATTTTGTAACAGGCAAACTACCAAGAATAATTTATTATTTATTACTAGAACGATAAAAAATGTAAAAAACTAACATTATACTTTATTCTACGTATTATATACCAGAAAATATTCGGTGCGAAAAAACGCTTTTTAAAACGTAACAGTTACAATACCATATCTCATCGTAATGTTTTATTATAATAATTTGAAGTTTGTCAATATTGATTATCTGTCATTATTTTTGAATTGAAATATTTTGATAATTTTTTTTAAACACAAATCAATGTATGAATATTTAATTGAGATGATGGAAAATTACAAAATTAATATGAGAATTTTTTAGGATGCATGTTTAAACAAATTTAATGTGACTGACTGATCGAGAATACTCGATAATGTTTTAGTTTTCTGTCACACAGCTTTACTTTTAGCTGGTTTTATATAATATTTTAGTTGAACTGGCAACGGTGCCCTAGAAATCAGAATGACACATATGACAAGATCAACGTCCACAACTTAAAAAACACGATTTTTGAATATAAGACTTGTACCAGTTTTTTATGACGGGAACGGTACATCTAAGAGGGAAAATGATAGACAAAGGAAGAAAAACAATAAACATCTAAAACTGGAATATAAATATCAAGCAACATAACAGATTGGAACCAATTTCTCTCGGAACCAAACAATAATATCGTTAATTGTATTATTTCCGAAATACTCAATCGTCAAATGTTTTGATATAGAATAAATCTTTGTAAAAATTAACTAATCGTAATTAAAAATACGTACCTAAATTTGGTTTGTACAAAGAAGTATCCTTACAGAAATTTGGAAACATTTTTGGTATGTAGTATAATTTAAATTTTTCTAATAAGAAGCTAAAACATCTATGATGGTGTGCGTTCTTGTCCTGCCATTCTAATTTCACAACCTATACATATAAATAATTACACAAATTTAAAAACAAATATATAGTAAATATTAAAAATACTACCAAAAAAATACAAAGATTGTTGAGGTTATTTTTAAAACAATCTTGACAACTAGTAATAAATATATTCATTAATAAGAACAGTTTTTAAATTTTTCTGTTTTACAAATTAGGGTCAAATACTAATATATAGTACCAACTACATCTCAACCGAATCATTTTAATTGTGATATTTGCATTTCTGTACATACGATTGCGTTTGTCGACCCAATAAAACCGTGTTGTTCTATTATGGCTTCTGTAAATTATTATTAATACTTTTGGAATATATTTTATGAATTTCATTCAATACATTGTTACATTGTAGCTGCCCACATCTCTTGATAATGCCTTGTAGATTCCTTTATAATAACTGCACTACCCCTCTTGGCATCGTTATCTGGATGGATTCTATGGTATATCTTGTAACCTATGATACTCACATACGACTTTCTAGAAAAGAGTGTTTCAGAAATGGGGCACACGTCTATTTTTTCTAAATCAAAAACTGATTGTAGTTCTTGCTGGTAGTTTTGGAGACCTGTAGAGTTTTTTCCTGATTCCTGAAGGACTCTATCTAATATCTTGTTTAATATATCCAACATCTAAGTATTGCTTCAGAAGGTGAGGGTAGGATTTGGTTTTGTAGTTTTTTCTAGTTTCATAATTTTTACCAGTTACGGCTCCACTGTATGTTTTTCCGTTTTATACACACTTTCTCTAAATATACTTACTGGGTAGTGCGACAAGGAAAACCGCGCGCTAATATGGTGGTCTAAATGTCAACAAAAGACCACCAAGGAAAATTTTATCTTGTAATATATTTAGCAAGAAATTTTTCTTTCATTTGCGTGCAGGTTTTATTCTATATTAACCAAGTGGCGTGATCCAGCATCCTTTTTTTGTGCATGCCGTGGATACATCACTAACAACAGATTTTGATCTATGTTTAAACACAGTTCTTTCAGTGCTTAATCAAATCAAATATACTTAAGCGTTTTTAGCCTGATCTACTTGAGTATTTAGATGGTGCCTGTGTACTACTGCAATGCTTTTGTAAAATATTACTATAGTCTGCTCGTTTTAGAGTTCTTTGATTTTTAACGAGACGTTGTTGCGGGAGGGGATGGTATTTCCCGGTACCGCCACATTGGTCTTATGTGGATTTGCTGTGATCCATGTCCCAGCACCCCATCCAGTAAATTTTAAGGGATATTAAGTCTTCCAGGATATCTTAAATAAAATATACCCACAAAAAATTATGCACCACAAACACTAAGAATCCATCAACAGAGATCAAGATCAAATCAAGCAGCAAATGGGGCAAACGGTATAGACCCAGAACTTGTCCCAAACATCGGGTACTTATGCCAGTGTCACCAAAACAACAAGATCTATGCCAAAACAGCAAAATGCGCCGACACAACCCAAAATAGTAGCTTTACACAATGCCTACAACGTATAATAGAACAGCAACAACTACAATACACCAGCTAGTACAGGAAATCAGAGAACTAAGAGAAAAGTTAAAAAAGGTTATCACAAATAAGTGTAATGGCTAAGCTACTAACTATAGCATTATGTCACGGAAACGGCATAAAGCAACACAAACACGAAATAGAAGTATTCCTAGTAACCAACAAAATTAACATACTGTTAGTCTCTGAAAGACCTCCTCCTCATTCCTTGAGTTCTTGTTAGGGCATGGTGACACTATAAATATTATTGGCTTGCTGCCTCCATTGGCTGCGATCCTGTGCCATAAAGAGAGCTTCATGTAGGGATTTTCTCACCAGAGTTTTCATTTGGTCTGCCCATCGTGTTGAAGATCTTGCTCTTGGTCGTCGGCCTTCCACCTTTCCTTCTACTACCAATAGTTTCATGGTCTCCTTCTTCTAGCTATATGGCCGAAGTAAATTAGGTATGCTTGTTTTACTTTTTTTAATAGCATGTCTTTTATATAAAGCTCTTTCAGAATTGACAGGTTGGTTCTATGTTCGGTCCAGAATATGCATAGAATACCTTCAAATGTGGGTCTACGCGTGTAGGGTCTAGGCTTCGATGTTATTCCTATGGATTTTTAAGTGTCTATATTTTAACTGCGTATGTAGCAATGGAAAAAATAAGAACAATGATCAACCTGGGCTTAGTATTCCTTGTTCTTGTTCGGTCTTTCCATATTTTAATCAGTTTAGCTGTTGCGATTCGGGACTTGCTAGTCTGCGCTTGATTTCTGAGAAGCAATCGCCATTCTTGTTTATCAGGGAGCCCAAGTATACAGATTAGTCTACCACTTCGAAATTCGTCACTTGGTGTATGTGAGGTAAATTATCATTTGCTCTGTTTACGATCATTATTTATTTGTGAACGACACCTTACCTCAAAAACTAGCTTTAGAATCCCAAATTTTGACGTATACAATGTGTGGATTGCGTTTGATTTCGTTACATTTTCGGCATTTTGTCACTTAAGTGAGTTAAACGAGTTCTGTACGTTAAGTGGAGATCCGTGTATAGTAGTACTCAATCAGAGAAGATTATATAGAGGATGTTTGTTGGTTTGGTGGAGAGAGAGAGAGAGAGAGAGAGAGAGAGAGAGAGAGAGAGAGAGAGAGAGAGAGAGAGAGAGAGAGAGAGAGAGAGAGAGAGAGCGAGCGAGAGAGAGAGAGAGAGAGAGAGCGAGAGAGAGAGAGAGAGAGAGTGCTAGAAGGTTTGGGCATAGTTAAAAGATGCCGACAGGTGGTGATTTGTAAAACGAGATGATGAACTGTAATAGACGAAGTCCAACCCACTTCAAACGTCAAAATAGGTCCAATAACAACAAAGATATGATATAGCTCCGTTTTGGCAATATTGTCATGTTTGTTTGTTTCTCTGTTAGCCTCAGTGACTACTCTTTTTTTCTTCAACGTCTATTATGCTAAAATCCGATCAAGAGCAACGAAGATCCGATATAGTGCCGTTTTGATAATACCGCCATATCTGATGCTGTTTTGTGATAACATATTCGATATTTCCTCCTCTTTCCAACGAGCCCTTATTCGCAAAGATCGAACCAATAGAAACGGAGATACGGTATAGAGCTGTTTTGGTAATGTCTTTGTCTTTGTTTTTTTTTGTGTTAACGTATTCGATATTCTCTCCTTTTTCATTTAACGTGTTACATATAGTAATCTCACTAATAACAGAGATACGATATAGTGCCGCTTTGGCATTGCCTTTGCGTTTATTTCTTGTCTTAAATATTCGGTACCGCCTCCCCCTTTCCATCGATACCTTGCACGTTGTTGAGCCGTTTAGACGTTATAAGCTTAGTGTCCTTTTGGCAATACTCTGCCATGTTTATTTCTGCGTCTACGTATTCGTTGGCCCCTCCCCTTTCCATCGATATCTTGCACGCTGTTGTACGTTGAGTTGTTAGACGTTACAAGTTTAGTGTCCTTTTTTTGAAATAGTCTATACATAGTCTATATGTATCTTGTACAAAAAATTATATGCTCTTATCAGTCGTACAGGAAATAGTTTTTTTTAACCAACCCTGATTGAACCAAAAATTGATTTATAAATTGAGTCCTTTTGTGAACATAAACAAGCATAAAATAGTTCAATTGATTTTTGGTAAAATCCTTTCCATTAAATCACCAATATTTCCTTTCCTCAACTGTTTATACAGTTTAATTATTGAAGAGACAACCAATAAATTGTTCTGTGTCCTCTGCTAAACTTCATATACACCCTCAGAAGTTTCTACAATGTAGGCACAGTCTACATTATTATTCATATTGTCTACTGTACATAGTATCCAAAAGCCCCATATAATCTACAAGCATATTTACATTTGCTCGAAAAATCAGTTCCATATATTAAATTATACATTCACATTCAAGATTCAATTTACATTGACTATATAGGTATGCTTGATATTGCGCTGTAAAACATGGACTGCTAGTGCTAACGCCCTCTCGTGTTAAAAATAGCATTACATTTGTAAGTCCACTTTGATATCTACACTTTATAGAACTCAGCTCCTCTACAGTGTACTCAATTACAGGTGGGCTTTTGATAAGTATTGGGGATTAGGAACTAAAGGAGCTTTGTTTGCGTTATCAGATTTATTACATAAGTACAGAGATCAACGAACTTTTTAACATTAACTCTGAGATAGTATTCCAAAACGCACTCGAAGGCGCAGAAGATGGCATAAAAGTGAATGATATATATTGGTGGTAAACCAAAGTCCAAATCAACCAGTACACGTAAATATACTGAATAGACTCGAGACATTTGAAATGTGAATATATGGAAGAATGTTGCAAATACCTTGGACTGTCCATATGCCCAACTTGGAAGTTTTGCATCGAATGAACAGGGAATGCGAGCTGATCGGAATAATTTCTTTAAAAAGAGGAAAACTGCATATCTTGCTCATGTAATGAGACACGATTGATCAGTTCGTTCAACTCAAGAATAAAATCGAAGACCAGGAAGTCGTTCCGGTCCACAGGACTATGGACTTAAGCTCCTGGTTTTATAACATACATTTATTAGGCTCAATAGATTTGCCGAGGAAACCCAAGACAGACAAAAATTTGCCAAACTTGTTGCCGATCGTCGACAGGAGAAGGCACTCGAAGAAGAAGTATAGTGAACTCTAAAGTTTATGACGGTTATTTTTAACTTGTACCATACCGACTAAAACTATACCGTCAATAAATAAATAAACGATACGAACCCAAAAATAACGTAGGTAGGAACATTATTTATTTGATGATAAATTTATTTTAAAAACGATAAATAGGAGAAAATAGCAACTCACCGTATGAACCATATATTCCAATAAAGCTTCTAAATAAAACTTGCTAGCATTTTCTGGAGATTTTTCTCCATTTGAGGGAGGCAAAATGGGTAACAATTCCGTTGCTGTTACGGGATGTTGTGCACTTGTATCGTGGAAAACGCTTCCGCTGTGTTGGGATTGAAAAACATTTTGACTTCCAAAACCTGGCACCAATGCAGAAAACATGTTGTGTACATACTCTGGTGCATTCTCGTTCAGCGCTTGGTACCATATTAAGAAATATCTGAAAGAAATCACAACAAACTTAGACGCATAAATTATCAGTATAAGTTAGGTGAGGGTAATAACGCCAAGTTCTGATTTCTCACCAAGTATTGGCGCTAAGTGAAATATGGCAACACGGGTTTGTTCATTGAAGTCTAACAAACCACGTGGTCATATTGTTGGCGACTCCGGCGGTGTATAAAACAGTTGATTATCCTTGGTGCATATAAAAGGAGAAACTTTTATAATTTCACGTGTTGAGTATTTAAGTACTTGTGGGTAATATAGCGCTATGGCGTTATTACCACGCGGTAGTAGTTAATGAGTAGTTAACTGACTTAATGAGTAATCTAAATGACTAATTAAGAGGTACTTAGTGTTCAAATTATAAAAAGTAATATGCATATGTAATACATACAGATAATTCGTTTTTTTTTTTTATTAACAGTTTGACCATGCCGAAATACAAAAACCAAGGAATAAGAGGGTAATGGAAGGAATTATGATATGCGAAATGCTGTTACAGGTGGAAGGTCTGTAAATAAGTAAAGTAATCACTTTTCAGTTCCAGTTTCCTAACTCTTATAGATTACGTAAAAAGTAATAAGACGACAAAATGCAAAATGGGACGCAAATGTGTTCTAAGTTCAGATCAAGAAAAAGATCTGTGCAGAAGAATAGTTCGTTTAGCAGAGATGGGACATCCGTTGACAAGCAGATTTTTGCGACGGTGTGTATTCAATTTTTGTGAATTGAATATTATGAAAAATCTTTTTTCTGTGGAAAAAAGATGGCAGGACGTTATTGGCTCGAAGGGTTTTTTGAAAGGAACCCAGAAATCAGAAACCGAAAAACACAGAACATGAATCCTGCTAGAGCTTAAAAATTAAACAAATTATCGTCAAGGACCGTTCAAAAACTTTAAAAAGTGCTCACTGATGATAATCTTCTGGAAAAACCCCAAAGTATATATATAATATTGGCACGGTTTAATCACGGAAATCGGTTTAATCGATTTACATTGTTCATAAAAACCAACACTGAATATATTTCATGAATATTACTATAGGTAAAAAAACTCGTATTTTACCGAAAATTGATAACGACTATTAGGGTTGATATAAGGTTGAATGCTCGAGATTTCTCTCCTGTTGCTGACCAGAATGTAGCTTCCACTATTTTTTAAATAATTTTAAACTGTTTGTCCTTGTTTGGTGTAGTGTTATGTTCAATTGTATGTTTAATTTTAAGTTTATGACATTCTGCAATTGTTGGATAGCCCAAAATTTGACGAAATGCCCTTGAAGATGCTCTAGGAAGCGAAAGTACTTGGGCAAGTTTAATTATTAAATACAGTGCTCGATATCTGCCTTTCATTTTATCAAAATATTATTAGGGTCTATATAGGGCATCAGCTCTTTGTTAAACAATGCGAAAAATTATTAAGGGTTTGAGATTTGGTAATATTCATTGGATTTTGAGAAAATGCTAAAACAGGTTGATTTTTATTTCAAAGTGAACATGTTTTAACGATATAGACATCTGTCATTTGTTAACCCCCTCCCTTCAGGTAGCACAAACACTTAATTTTAAATAGGGAATATACCATGTGTGGCACATCATTAGACATGTATTTCGCTGGAGAATTCAGCCATCCATGATTTTTATTTTCATATTAACTCTTTTCTTGTGAAAAAGTATAAATTTATTAAAATTATTATACCTCTTTAAAACCAAACGTAACGTCTATGTTTTGCTAATGTTAAGGATAATTTTTTTTCGTCACGTCAAAAACTAAATTGAAAGCAATTTGCAAAAGTTTAGTTATTTGAACTGTGTTGGTATCGTTTAATAGAGCTATTAAATAAGTATTTTTAAATTCGTTCAAAATGGTTTATTCTATTGCAGAACACGTTAAAATTATTTCCATATATTTTTTTTAATGGAAAGTGTATAAGGAGAACAGCGAAATTATTGAATCAACTTCACAAAGATAAGCAAATTCATCACTCATACGAATTAAAACTAATTAAAAGTTGGTTGAGTTGATAAAAATCCTAGAGTTTTTTACGAAACACATATCCAACAGCCAATGATTCCAAAATGGGCAGAAATTTGATCGTATTTTTGGGCCATTCTTTCTGCAACAAAATTTGAACGAAGAAGCATATTTAGAATTATATGAGGACCGAGTTGATCCCATTTTGACAGATGTAATCGAAAATGATAACAGGAACTCAGAAGATTATTTGTTTTTCCAATATTATAGCATACATTTAAGGCGAAATATTAATAAACGGTTTCCTAGGCATCGGATTGGACGAACAGTTTTTATTGAATGAGCTACCCTGGACTTCTTTCTATGGGGTTATTTAAAAAGCAAGATTTATAATCCCAGTCCTGCTTCAGTAGAAGAACTAAGACAATGAATTAGTAGCCCTGAAAAGCTCATTTGGAACATTTAATTAAATAATTATAGCTGATGAGTAAACTGTTTTAAAGTTTGAAATTGGTAATTTAAAAGTTAGTTCATTTTATTTGCGTTACATTTAAGGATAAATAGTTTTTGACGTGGTGGGAAAAATTAGAAATTGACAGTAGCAAAACATAGGCGTTACGTTTAGTTTTTAAGAGATGTAACACTCTCAATAAACTGATACTTTTTTTACAAGAATAGGATTATTATAAAAAAAATATCGTGTATACCTAAATTTTCTAGTAAATTACTGTCTAACGTACCACACATGGTATATTATGGTTCCCTTTGTGGATTCTTTTGAGTGAACCTCCCTGTATATTTATATACCAAAATGGAAGATTTAACATAACAAAATGGATGATGATACAATAGAGAATCAGGAATAGTTATGGCGTCGTTACAGGAACAGCTACGAAATGTGAAAACATTTACACCTACCTTGAAAAGTAAAAAAAACAAAAAATAATATATAACATATAATTATAAATAAAATTACCTTATTCCTTGTCTTCTTAATTTGATAGAATTTCCTGGATGAAGAAGTTTCGCCAAAAGTCTGCTTAGAGAATGCAACTGCCATCTCCTGTGTATAAGTTCCGGTAAAAGACATAACACTTGTTCGAGGATCCAAAGAGTACACTCCAACTCTTCCTTATGAGCCTTGTGTACTATGAAATTGATACTTATATTAATAATAAAGTTCTATTTCAAATGTTAAATTAACTTACCCAGATGAAAAGACAGCTCTGACACCACAGAAACAGATATTAGCAATTAGTTAGTGACATATATACAAATGAAAATAAGGGTATAGATGAAAAAGCGTTTATTCGTTGCAAAATGTAACATAAAATGCAAAACCAAAGTATGCTTCCTGTATTCCACAAATCAATATAAATGGGTAAAAAGGTTACTCCTTATAACCTGCCCTGTCATAAATATCATACAAGTGTAAACGCGGCTTGTACAGCTGATAAACTGAATGGAGCTAAAAGTTATGTTGACATTACTGATTGTTGATATGTATACTATAAACGCGCCAAAACATTCCAGTCTAGTTTGAGCCATTACGATGGAGTGGACAGTCAAAGAAGGTAAAGTATTGCTCTTCATAAGTGCGGAATACAAAGATCTCGTATTTTTGGATGACTAAAACCGTTTAAATATTACGCGTGTTTTTGGATACGAGAGGAGTGACCGTTAAAGATCCAGCCAGCCTCGCGTGGCTCGTACGCCACGTGGTATTAACGCTGTTAGATCAAGATTTAACCAAAATCCTGTCCGAAAACTAAAAGTCATGGCTCGGGAAATGGATAATGCACCGAGAACCATGAGTCGCATTATCAAACAGGACTTGGTGGGACTTGAGGCTTTCAAACTATAAAAAGGACAACGCCTTACCGTTGCATTAAATAGGAAAATAGGACAAAATACAAAAAAAAATCAAGGCGCCTATTGTTGTACGGTAAAAAAGCGTTAAGAAGAAATCCTCTTTACAAATGAACATTTTTTTACTATGGAAGCAACTTTCAATAAGCAAAACGATAGAGTTTAAGCAGGGACATCAAAGGAAGCCCGCGAACTGGTGCCTAGGATAGAGCGAGATCTTTGTCCTGTCTCAGTGATGGTTTGATGAGGAGTGTCCTATAACTGCGGTACTTCTTTACATTTTTGTAAAAAGGGTCTTAAAATAGCGGCGAGAAATTATCAGCAGGACATTTTGACAAATGTAGAGCCCCAAAACTACATTCTTCTTCTAGTTCCATGACCGTTATCGATCGTTGGATATCATGTTGGCTACCATATTCGCTATCGTGACTTTATTGACAGCAGCTCTAAATAACGATGTAGTTGATTTTCCATACCATTGCCTTAAATTTTTAGCCATGATGTTCTTCGTCTACCAGGATTACCTTGGATCTTTCCCTGAATGGTCAGATGTAAAAGATCATGTTTCAGGGTGTCTCATAATGTGACCGAAGTATTGAAGCTTGCGTTTCTTTATTATATTGACCAGTTGTGTTGTTTGGCTCAGCCGTCTAAGGACCCTCCTCATTTCTAACTTTGTCGACCCAGCTTATTTTCAGTAGTCGTCTGTATACCCACATCTCAAAGGCTGCCAAGCGTTTTAAGCATAGCCTCAGTTAGAGTCCACGCTTCCACTCCATACAGCAGGACAGAAAAGATGTAGCAAGATGTCATACGAACTATTGGGACCGTGCTAGTTCGGAACAGCGACAGCTGATGTCGTAAATCAGCAAAATTTACTGCGCTTTCATGTTAGATCGAGGTTACCGGATAACTGTCAAGGACATAGCCCCAAAAAAGAATAAGAAGAAAAAGTAAGATTGAGGTTATGTCGGTATGTTATTAAAAGGTAAACGTTGTATTGTTGTATTTAGTATAAATACAAATACATATTATTAAATTACAGCATTACTGTTAATATGGATGCAATAATAAAAACTGGATTTGAGAAAGTAAATCACCAAATAACTTTTCAACCAAGCACTGAGTCGAAGGGAAAAGCTTTAGTAGTGGCAAATGTCAAAAAAGAATGGAAGAATTATGTGGAAGAATTA